ACAGTGATTTTCGACTCTGACTCATATCTGCAAGTATATGAGATGGGGGAGGAGAGAGGAGGTTTTATATCGGGAAAGGGGGAGGAAGAAACAGAGGAGCGCGCTGAGAGGAAGAGTCCTACTTTTTTGTAAACCTTTCCGAATCCGAACGAAATCCTTTCAGGTTGCATTCGACGGCATTTGGATTGACATGAATGAGCCTTCAAATTTCGACACTGACGTCTATAGCGGGACAACCACCCACTGGCAGTCGCCGTCTTTCGTGCCCAATCACAGGTCCAGGATCAGAGTTCGATAATCCTCCCTATAAGACCTATGCGGTAAGTACCTTAACGAATTGGAATCATTGAGTACATCACTGTTGATTCGCATTTTATAATAAAAAATGACAGCGAAGGTAAGCTTCAGCGAATCGGGGCCCACAGCTCTCCTAGAACGTTTGTCACTGTCTTGATGTACCCAGAAACATTGTATGAGTGTCGTCTCCCCTACCTGAAAACGCTATCCATTATTTCAGCTAAACTGTATCCAGCGAGGTTATGTTAAGCAGGATTTGTCTCAGCAAGCTTCGAAGAAAGACCTTTAGAGAACCTTACTTAACACAGTCTCAGTTCCCAAATAAAGGCAACGGTTTAGACACGATACGATCACCATCAAGTAGCCGAAAGGGGATGAAAGAGGTAAAAGAGACTATCAGAGTTGTTCTGGATGAGGCCCTGTTATCGTTGTAGCAAATTTGGTGCGTTGGACATAATTGCGTCCAAGAAAGCGCAAGCTGGGAGAGAGAGGGTGGAGACGATAGAGACATAAACACCCTGGAGGCGCTCAACATGGACCTACCAAGGATGGTGGCGGAACTGCCAACGTTGAGGGTCCTAAACCGTCGTTCCTAAGCAGCGTTTTGACCCAATAGCCCCACGTAACGCTCTCTAGCCACCTGGCCACCTAACAACTACCTTCTAGGCTATAAGAGGAGGCCATCGTGTAGTCCCATAATAATATCTGAACGGTTATGAAAGAGACTTACAAGTGAATTTCCTTGCAAAAATCCCAGTCTGAGGCAACGCGAGGTCCAAAGAGGTCTCCACCCACCCTTTTGCTGTTTTTCTAACCAACTTTTATGATCAGGTGTATAAAGGACCAGCAGGAGAGCACCTGTGTTCAAAAACCCTATGTATGCTTGCGAAAACCGGCCGACGAACAATGGACTTTTACAATACGAAGAATCTCTATGGGATGTCTGAAGCCTAAGGCGACTATTCAAGCTTTGTCAGCCACAACTGGGAAAAGAGGAGCAATCATTATCTCAGGTAAGTATTTTTCAGAATAAATATTCTCAAAAGAATCGACTAACTTCTTTGCTCTAGTCAAACCATTATCCCCTCTTCTGGACTTACGTGCGCGTTTGTTGGCTGACAACACACAACATGGGAAAGCATCTCACAGACTCGTGAGAGGTAAGCACTTTTCAAGAAGCACTCGTCTACTTCCGAAAGGCCTACAGTAAAAACAGTTCTGTAAGTTCAACAGGGTCCATTGCGATATGAATGGGACACGGTTATCTGAGTCACACACACCACAAAGGGGGTTCATTGTGAAATGGATGTGGAAGCCGTGTAGAGAGGGTGCTTTTACTACAGTTTCCTAGAAAGTGGATAAACCATATCACGGTAACATTCAAGCGAATCGGAATTACAACGCATTTTCCATCTCCTGAAAAATATTGTCTCCCACTCTGAACGTGCGCATTCCTGAGATTTTTGAGCAAGCAGTAGGCGCAAGGCTGGTCAACTGCTCTCAGATCGAGATAGCTTGTTAGAAACAGCCACGATGGGGAGGGTCGCGGCTGGAGTGGCAGGCGGTCGTATTGCGAAGCCTTAGGGCTGATGTCGCTGGGGGTAGTATAGAAACACTCTGAATGGGAGGAGGGACGTAAGTTTCTGAAGAAAAACCAAAGCTAGCGTGGAACTTGCCATTCACTTGGAGCTACGGAAACTTCATACGCAGTGGTGGCTTCGAACGTGTGGGTGGGATCATGGGAACTGCTTTTCTCCCTATTGATATATCCCTCTTGTGGAAGTGCCCAGAAAAGCGCAGCCTTCGGAGCTATCAGAAGGCTATCTCAAGGGCCATCTTTCAGGAGTAATGGAGTTCAACTTCTTCGGCCTTCCCTACGTGGGTTCGGATATCTGCGGCTTCAACGGGAACACCACAGAGGAATTGTGCGTGCGATGGCATCAGATGGGAGCCTTCCATCCCTTTTGCAGGTAAACGTCCCACCAAGCGAGTATGGCTTCGTCTTGAGATGAGATCTTTCAGAAATCACAACACGGAACAAGGCAGTCCACAGGATCCGGCCGTGTGGCCATCCGTCGCCAAAGCTGCTCGACTCGCCCTCAATTTCCGCTATACGTACCTGCCATATCTGTACAGGTAGTACTGATACTTGTACTTATAAAAAACTGAACTAGGCATTTTCGAGGTCGTTTTTGCTTCAGCTTGCTCTATGCTGCCGCTGTTGATGGTCACACTGTGATTCGCCCGCTGTTCTTCGAAGTATCCAACCGATTTTGTGGCTATGGAAATCGATCATCAGTTCCTATGGGGGTCAGCGATCATGGTGGCACCAGCGCTTGAACAGGTGGAATTATAACGCCTTCTTGCTGACTTGGCATCATTTTGATTATTTCGTACGTACATTTACCAGAACATTACAAGCGTACACGCCTACTTCCCTGCTGACGTCTGGTACTCACTGATTCCGGCGAATTACGGTCAGCAGATGGATATTGGTTATGTGGACGTCGAAGCTAGACTCGACTCTCTTACTCCGGTATTTGCACGAGGTAAGTTGTGGTACGCACCTTGGCAATTTCTAAGGGATCCAAAATCGGACTTAAGAGGCATATAGTGCGACAAGAATCCCGTCGACCGATTTTTGTAATGGATAGCAGGCGATAACGACCGAATTAATTTAGGATAAGAAAAAAGACATAGAATCCTTGCGAAACCTTCGTGTGCAAGATTTCACCTTGACTGATGCTAACCGCGGGAGAATTGGGCCCACCTGGCTTAAGAGTTAGATGTGTCATTTCAAAACGATTTTTGGCTAGCTGTTGAACAGAGCGAAGTCGAGGCTGCGTTCTACTTCGGCGACTCCAGCGGCGTTGGCTGCATTGCCCTTTATCATTTTTCCCAATCGATTTAATGGATAGTTACAATGAAAGACAAAAAAAGGAGCATTCTCAAAGGTCACAATAAGTGCAAAGAAGAGAACGGGCAGCGGTACCACAGACACTTTACTCGTCGTCGTGCATTATTCTTACACCAAAATTGTCTTCTTTGGAGTTTTTCTTACTTCAGCAAGGTTCCGAAGCGACTAGACCGGATGGAAGATGACCCGTTTCGATAGCTAGGCAGGAGGGCCTGTCACGCAGGCGAGAAGCAAGACTGCCGGCAGTGATAGTCGCGCGCATACTGAACGACTGCTAGCTTCAGAGCTAATTTGTATGTACTACTGTAGTACATTGCCGAAATATGACACAGTGCCGCTGTAACTCGATCCGCTGACCGTCTGCGCCATTGCCTGCTCGCGCGCGGCAGGCCTTTGCCGGGTAGCCCGTTTGAGAAGGGCCACGAATATCGCTCTGCTCTTAGAACAGGACTTCAGAGATCGCCTGGAGAATAGGCGATGCTAAAGCCGAACTTCTAGTAGAGCTTGACGAGTAGGCTTAATATCGAATTTAGCGTGATACGCACAAATCACCTGATCCACCTAACTGAGGGCAGTGCGAACGCACACAACCGGTGTCCAGCTCCTTGGTCGGCTAATAAGGGTGGTTCGCCAAAATGTGTTTATTGTAGGTGCGTCATGGTAATCCCTCGCCATAGAGGCTGGCCTCTTACACGCAGTCGAAGGCTCAACCTTTGCACTGGAGCTGTTCGGGCTGACGTGCAGATCGAAACTCTTATCAGTGCGTACGTTCTTTAGCCGATCAGTATAGTCGCCCGCTGCTTACAGATAAGCCTGAAGAGAACGAAGAAGGAAACCCATCGGAAAATTTGAGGATTGCTTGTTTTTAATATCCTTATTGGTCTTTAGGGAGGTATATATTGGGACGCTGGAGACGACCTCTTTGACAACATCGAGACAACACTGAGTGTGAGTGCCCCTACAAATGAAAGATTGCCCCCTCTTTATCCATTTTTCTTTACCTGTGATCAAATCTTGGTTACCAGGCCCAATCGTGGATGCTCAAAGGGTGAGTACGCGGAACGCTCCTCTCCCTTCTCAAGGTTCTACCAGGAAAGGCATTCAACTTCCCATGGAACTTTGAGATGAGACCCAGATATATCGATAGAGCTTCAAACGCTGATTACAAATATGGAAACTAAAACTGCAAAATGAACCTGCCAAGGAAGTTGTGAGCAGTCAAAGTTGGCTGGAAGTAAAGCATTACACTAGCCGCCGGCTTTCAGAGCCTCCGCGGAGCAGTGGTGGTGCCCTCGCTATTCACCCTGGGGTCGTATACTTCAGCCTTCCCATTGTTAGCCCGCATAGCCGTCTCCTCCATCGTCGAAGCGCAAATTCCGAGAGCACTACCACTACTCCAAGGCGACTTTGAAAGCCCGGAGGCTAGTGTAATGCTTCACTTCCAGGCAACTTTGACTGCTCACAACTTCCTTGGCAGGTTCATTTTGCAGTTTTAGTTTCCATATTTGTAATCAGCGTTTGAAGCTCTATCGATATATCTGGGTCTCATCTCAAAGTTCCATGGGAAGTTGAATGCCTTTCCTGGTTAGTCCCGTTTAACAAAAAAGAAAGACATTTTCACGCGGTTTTGAATGCATTGCCATCACATTGCCCCGTATATTGCGATAGCGCCTCAAATTTCCTCCCGAGGTCTTCATGATTTTGATAAATTGGGCGCTCTGAAACTTATCACCTTCTATCCACCGATGACTACAAAACGCAGAAAACAAGCACATGTATGGAAGCAGTACTTAAGCTGATAATTTTAGGCACCACTGGAGTTTTATGTACTCCTCAGACAATAACACGGCCACCTTACGTGGAAAATGCGATGGATGTGACACGGTAAGCGAAAAGCCAGCTACAGGATATTTCACATACAACACTTCTTGCTTAGCTAGAGTCTAAATGTTCTTTAAGCTCACACTCAGAGCATTCACTCGAACGTCTTTAAAGAAGGTCAAGTGGTAGAAAGTTTTACCGTGTCTTGTTCCAGAGTGTGCAAATCCCAACATTGGACGTAATCGAAATCATGGGCTACGACTTCTATCCCCAGTTCACCACCTTCACGCTGAATGGATTTAAGGTAATGACTTAGACGTGTACGTATGGTTTCAGAAAATAGGTACCAAAAATTGGCCCGCAATCCAACTGACAGAATATGGGTGGTGAACGAAATATTAAGCACAGCAGTTAGTAGGTCCAGGTATACTTCACCTGAGGATGATGGCTGTGGATAATCAGCTACGCTGCACCCCTATCTGTTTTCACTATTTTGCCTCCTCCTCCCCCCCCCCTCCCCCTTCAGACGTGTAAAATACGGTCTTTAGCGGTATAGAAATCGGTAAGGCAGCGTTCAGAGTTGGCGATCGCGCATGTATTTATTAGGCGAGTAGGCGATTAGGCGACCTTACAATTATTATAAATTATTATATTATAAATATAATTATTATATTATATTATTATATTATAAATATATTATAAATTATAATAAATTATTATATTATAGATATAAATAAATATATATTATAAATTATATACAAATTATTATTACAACATAACGATGATCCCTTCTAGCTTAGTCGCCTATTCGCCCTCTCGCCTAATCGATACGAATACTCTCTTATTGAAGCATCGCCTGGTCGCCTAATCGCCTAGTCGCACGTACGACCGCCAACTCTAAACGCTACCTAACAGGAATTTCAAACTCTTCAAGCCCCATACGTCTGCAGGCCCCACTCACCAGAACCTCGTCTGTCTCTGAAACCCACCTAACTTTCCAGCTTCTAGGGTGCTTTGGAAAAAATTGTTAACACAACACAGCTGGGAAAACGCCCCCCCCCCCACCGCGGGTGGGTCTCATTTCATCCACCCATCCATGTATGCTTTATGCATTCTGGCCCATTCAACCTCATAAGCTTGAACGTGGCTTAGTGTAAGGTGATTTTTAGGGAAAAAACTGGAAATTTACCTTTCCCAGCCCTTTGAATATAAAAAATGCAAACATCTCCCATAAACCCATCCATATGAACTCTCTATCTTCTCCCCCTCCCCCCGGGACTTCCCATGCCCTACCGGGTTTTCCTTTCATAAGATGCCAGGTCGAGTAGTGAGAGAGTTGTGTCCGCAGTACGAGGCAAATGCGCGTACAGTCATTTCCCGATAACGCCTAGTTCATTTCAGATTAATATTGACACTCAGTCGTCAAGCTATCTTCCGCTATCCCGTCGGCTCTACATTAAGACGAAGAATCTGATCAATCTGTCTAATGCTGATGCCTTCGAACTCTCTTGGACTCATCAGGCGATCGGGGAAAATTACTTCTAGAATGTTCTTGTGATGTTGTGGAAATTTTTAATCATTAATAAAGTACAAAATTCTTGAGGGTTACAGAACTTTCTCGGAAGCTCCACGTTTTTGGCATCACGTGTTTAACATCTGCATTCAGGTGGGGGACACTTCTAGAACACACAGGGTCAGCCAGTGTATGAGAGCCAGTCTCTGTCTGTTTCGCCGACATAGTCATAAATGTATTCATTTATGTAGCACCTTGTCTGTACTTCTAACGTGGGTAGCGAAAGTACTGGAAACATTTGAGGGCACCGCCCATGGCGAAAACTGGGTCCTCGCCATGACCACAGTACAAGTACACACGGCACTGGCTGGGGTCGAGCATCCACTTAGGAACTCTTGACGCTATTTGACCTTTAGGGGAAGGGTTTCCTGGAGCAGCCACAACTGTCCACGGGTTAGCCTTTGAGAAGGGTTGAGAGTTCTGAATTGCCGATGATGGATGGAAATATGAGGGAAGGAGAATAGGGTTCGTAATCAAAGGACTTCCCCGCCTTTGAGAAAAGCTTGACTGTGTTACCGGTCACCTATGTAGGCTGGCCATATTCTTGTTGCCAAGCGAGCCCTGTTAAACTCCGAGCAAAACAACTTAATAACGAAAAATAAAAAACAAACCAAGCTTAAAAAGGCCTGCGAAGTGTCCAATAAGCATCTCGCTAGGTAGCGGACTCCCAAAAAGACACAAACCAAAAGAGCGGATCGATCCTGGACACCGTTGAGGGCCGCTAACCACGCTGGCCGTCACAGTGCCACACTGCACTCATTCTCGCCTGTGGCCTTAAGGGGTCTGAAAGCCCGTTTGAGCCAATTTCTTAGACTCTCACATCTTAGAGCCAAAAGAGTTGAAGAAGTTGGTTTTGACGGTGGTTTCGAAAGCCTGCAGTACCTCCTTGTTCCCATCACGTGTCAGTCTATGTGGGAGCTGTTGACGGAAACCAATAATTTCATCAACATCAATTTGTCGTCCATTGTAACAATGCATTTACGAATGATGCCATAATGATCTCTTGGCCTGAAAATGGTGTCACAACCGTGAAAAATCAAATAATTAGGAATGGATGAGAGTCCTTCGGGGTGCGCCACGCATCTGACTTCCATTCAGGATCTTGATGGCACTTGAGTGCAATTCGACCCATACAATGAGGGAACCACCACCCAATGAATAAATGCATCCCAAATCTTTGATCTTGCAAGCAAGTCTGGCACACAGCGGACGAATTCGAGGAACCTGTACTTCACATCAATTGGGTGAAATTTCTGACTGAGTAGAAAGTTCCAAAGCCAGGATGACCACAAGAAATTATATAAACAGAACCTCATTCAATTCTGTATACAATTTAGAGCTTGTACTGCATGCTCAGGCTATGTAGCGGCAAATGGCACCTCTCAGTACAAATATGGTCCGAATATCGTATCCCGGAAAAATAAGTTCACTGTACTGTCGACCGATTCCGCCATGTCGACCCAAATGTCGGTACTGATTGCTTCAAAACAAGAAAAGCCGTGTGCATAGCGTAGTCTGAAGATATCGCTTTCAATGTCTTTCCAAGAGTACATACTCTGATATTTGCTCACAAAAATATTTCGCTTTTTGGTAGCAAAAGCTCGCAGAGGTGAAGGCAGAAGGAGGTGAATAATAGAGTTCAGCAGCTTGTTGAGGTTAATACATATTAAACATATAGAATTACTCAAATCATTGAGTAGATAAACAAAAAGAATCAGCTATACCTGAGATTCCTGCACTCCTTCACAGATCGTTCAGGTCTACATAGATAACAATTGAGCGCGCGGTCACGCGATGCGGTCGCCTCAACGCTGAGCCATACCCTGTCTGTACTCAACTAATAAAACCTGCGGTTTATCCAAGATGAGCATAGACGCCCAAGGCTTAGTCTACCCACCCACGTTTCGACAACTCTCATTCCTACCCAAATTGATGTGTTTCGGCCCTTCATAGGCCTTCGAGCTTTCCTAGGCACGTGAAAAAATCTCTGAGAAAGACTCCTTCGGAAGCATTACATTACATTACGCCTTTGTAGTGAAACAGTACCTTTCAAACTGCTAGCGTGAATTCCTAACGAGAATAGGAAGAGTTCGTCTTGTCGTGTCGTCTTTTGGTATGCGCCGTGCCTTCGACTTGTACGCAAAATCGCAGAGACATTTGAGGGCAAACGCAGGTTCTGTAGTGCGGACTGTTACTCTTCAGGTTTCTGCCTTTCTTTCTTCTGCGAGGATTCTTTCACAATTTCCCCTTCTCTGAGAGAAGAATCACTTCGGTGGTATGTACTGGAACAGATCCTGTCGCCACCTACCTCTGCAACACCTGTATTTTGTAAAGTGGCAGTAGAGCGAGTCTCTTCTGAGCAAATAAAGTTCAGCGACAATTTTGAAGTGATTAGCGCATTTCCACATTAGAGTAGTGCGCTTGTCCCCAGATTGCCCTCGTCCCATTCCACAAGTCCACTTCTGCGTAATGCACTTGGTCTCGAGTATTTTCCGACGTTCCTTTTTGAGTTTCCATTTTTGATTGTTTTCCTGGTGGGGTTTTGACCAGCACCCCATCATTACTACCACATCAGTCTTACTTGGTAGCAAACACATCAGATGATGGCAACGATGATGTCAGTCGAGGACCATGTTGTTGTCCCCGTGCCCCGCTAAAAAACTTTTTTGACACACTATTCGTAAATTAGTCAACTGACATATCAATTGATATTCAATGATATCAAGAGGATCGATAGTACTCTTTTGGCATTGCATATTTCACAATAATATAGGACTATTTATATCTACATACTCTTGTAATCATCCAAAATCGGGTTGCACCCAACCATCTGACTTCGTTTATATAATAAAAGGCCAGACTGCGCTCAAAATAGACATCTAAATGTTTTCTAATGGTTTTTGGTACTTTGAAAAGATTGAGATTTGATCGTTCAATGTCAAAAAATACGACAACTGTTACAAAAGTTCCAAATGCATAATAAATATGAGGGCGACCTGCAAGAATAATCAGAGTGCGGTGATTTCTGCGAACATTTTTTCCACTTCATGGTCATGTTAACCATGTGGAGAGGTTGTGGAGGAGAGGAGGGGGGGGGGGAAGGAGTCACCTTCCTTCGCCCATCTTCTCCGCCATTCAACAATGAATTAGTCACAGTCCGCTCAACTCTAACCCGAGTTTTTTTTTCGCCTGAATAGTAAACATCACAAAAAAACTATCCCTTTTCTCTATGAAAGCCTTCCGATCGTTGTTTTTCGGAGCACAAATTTTCACTTGTACACACGGCGGCTCCTTTTCGCACACCCTCCGCTCTCGGTGCATAATCTCAGAAGGTCGAGGTATAGGGCCCTCAGGAAAAAGAAAAGGTTCGTCCGAATTAGGGCGGAACCTACCAAATCACAACCTTTGTAGGCCTTTTAATTGCCTTCCTCCTTCCTCTTGTACTTATAGAGCTGGTA